TTAGGGAGAGAGGAGATGGCAAAGTTTACACGTGTTTTAAGTTGAAGTATTTGTTCAACAGGCAGGTGAGGCTTAAGATTTGAAGGTCTAAAACAGTTAGTTAGACCCATGGGAGTAAATACAATTTCTTAGATCAAATACATGTTCAAAAAACAAAGAGGTTCAAGAACTTTAATGTACTGACCTTTCATTCAAAATTGTAAGTTATGTATTCCTGTTACCCTGTATAGATTCCAACATAAGAAGTATTAAGCTTTAGGCATCTAACAAAGGGTAGGATGGAAAAAAATCCTAAGCAGTAGGATCCCAGCTCAGGACACTAATCTAGTTTCAGGGCAAAGCTCTTGGAAAGGGAGCCAGAGGTTACGTATTTTATTTGGATGTCCCCAATTCACACCTCAACCTCCATAAAGAACTGGAAAATCTCGCCCCACCCCAACTAGCTCCCATTTATGAAGAGCTTTGAGTAGGAGTGGAGAGCCTATGAGAGGTATTCCTTGAATGTGGATGAATAGCAGCATCACAGTTTCAGATCTGGCTCAGTTATGCATGAGGAGTATAGGAAACTACATTGAGCCCTTAGGAGAAGAGGCTGCTATCTGGGTCCTGAAAAAGCATGTTAAAATTCAGGGCAGAGCAACCAGATTGTAAACTAGTATGCCAAAGTAGGAATGGTCTCTATGAGACAAATAAAGGAGGTAGACATATGTGGGTACAAGGTCCATTCTCTCATCCAGAACTTAGGGCTAGGGCCAGAAGAGCAGTTCCACACCATACATATGGATGTATGGTGAACATGGTCAGGGAAGCTTCAGAAATTGAGCGGTACTCATCTTACCATTGAAAACCTATGGAATTGAGGAAGGTACTGCCATTTTTAGCTAAATCTTAACTTTTGTGGTCCTCAAAAATCTAATAAATTGACACTTGGAAATCCTGGTCCTATCCTCTCTAGCTATTTAGCTCTGTCTTCAGTATAGAGTCCTGTTGCACCTGTATATGCATCTGTGCTTGTGCAGTGTGCATAGATGCACACACACACACACATGCACATACACACACACACACACACTGTCTCTTCTGACTTCTAAGAAATGCACAAGTGAAATGATAAGCACACCCAGATCCTGTCACTGTGGAACTACTAATGACATATTCTAGCATTCTTGTCCATTTTCTGCCCATTCTTTCTTGTTAATGCTCAGTATCTCACATCTGGAAACTGTGCTTGCCTAGTTTGGGGTCCATAGTGTCAAAGAAGTCAACAGACTGTAATAGTCACAGCAACAAAAGCAGCAATTGCATATCTTGAGTGCTTATCAACTATTACCCTAAGTATTTAGAAAAAGATGTCATTCAACCCTCAAAATTGTTCATAAGGTTATTACTATTATTTTGGTTTTACTTATGAGGAACCTGAAACTCAAAAGTTGAGTAATTTGCCTAAGGTCATGTAGCAAGATTCTAATTTACGACTCACTCCAAAATCCATGCCTTTAACTAGTGTGTAAAAAGGCAAATGTGTCTAAAAATGCATTCCTTATTCTTTGGAGCATGAATTGTGTGTGTGTGTGTGTGTGTGTGTGTGTGTGTGTGTCTGTGTGTGTGTGTG